TGAATGCTCTAACTATGCTATGAACGGGCATGAAGTCTGATTCCTTCAAAAAGCTGCAGACTTACTGCGCTGCAGATATTTCCAGACATGAGGCATATTGTTTGGGGTTCCTGAAAGCCTGAGATGCGAAATGTCTGGGTGGCAGCTTCTAGTTTCCCATCCAATTCGATACATCCAAGCAAGGAAAAATAAAAATGAAAATACACAGAGCTGAGTCTGTTTGGGAACCTGGACATGTGGAGGGTACATGCACACAATTCGTGAAGCCCTGAGCAGCTGACACTATTACTAGCACTGAGAATTACACCAGAGCAAATTAAACTTAGGAACCTTTAGATCAAAAAATTTAGAAAGTCTGGTTTTATATAATTTAACCCAGATTAGATAGCCTGCCCACAAAACATCATTTCTTGTTCAACTTGAGCACCTTGGCTGAAACTACGAGCTAAGACGTATTTCCAGTATGTCAAGCAGTAAGAGGGGAACCCTTGTTTCTGACTGCAGTAGGCCTCCCAGGCTGTCTGGTATAATTTGGACTGCCATCCTACCCTCTGATTGATGACAGGGAAGCTTGCTTGCCTGCCTCCCCTAACCAAGTTAGATAAATCTGTCAGAAGATCCAAAGAAAAAAAATACACTGAGTACTTCAAAAGAGCTAGGTTGGTCTTGTCTTTAGGTTTGAGAAAGATGTTATGAAATAACAAGAAGCTAATTAGAGATCTGACAAAACACTGGCCATTTGTGTTGGGTTTGGGGGAGAGGGGTGGGGTTTTTTTGAAGTGTGGAAAGAGGCTATAGTGATGGCCCCTGTGAGAAGCTTTGAGAAGCTCCCCTGGCTCCAAGGCAGACCCACCTCCAGCCCAGGCTGAGCCCATCAGCAATAGGGAAACATCTCTTCAAATCCGTATTTATGAGGGGAAGAACCAGTCTGGCAAGGAAAGAGAGAGCCATCAGAAGGCCGTGACATGAACAAAAGACATCCAGACAGGAGGAGGAAGGCAGGAGGCAGAGGACTATGGACACTCAGGTCAGCAAGAAGAGTGGATGGAGGTAAATAAGAGTCCCCTGCAGCCCATGGAGTTTAAACAGCAGAGCAGATACTCAGGTGTAGGCTGGAGTGGGACGCTGTGCCCAAGGGCAGCTGTGACTACCTCGAGAGCTCATGACAGAGCAAGAAGACTCCAGACACACTCAACGCCCGAGTAGGGGGAGGAGGTGCACTGGAGGGGAGACATCTCTAGCCCATGGAGGATGGACCTGGGAGCTGCACCCGAAGAGGTCCATGACTCCATAGGAAGCCCATGTTGGAACACCTTGCTCCTGAACTCTTTTAGCCCGTGGGACGGACCGCATGCTGGAAAGAGCGGCATAGACAAACTGCAACCCCCATTTCCCCATCCCCCTGTGCCACTGCCGGGGAGAAGGTCGAGAAATTGGGAGCAAAGTAATTTGAGCCCAGGAAGGAGGGAGGGGTGGGGGGAAGGTGTTTTAAGATGTGGTTGTCATGTCTCACTATTCTACTCTGATTAATTGGTAACAAATTAAGTAGATTTTTCTTCCCCAAGTTGAGTCTGTTTTGCCCATGACTGTACTTGGTGAGTGAGCCGTCCCTGTCCTCATATCAACTCACAAGCCCTTTGTTGTGTTTCTCTCTCCATCTTACCAGGCAGGGGAGAGCGAGTGAAGGGCCACGTGGTATTAGCTGAGGCTAAAACAACCTCAGTGTTTCATTGCTGAATTCTTGCCAACAGAATGCCCATATGAGTTCTAAAATATCAACTTGAGCAAGGATGGCTGCAGCTGAATCCGAGGTGCCCACTGAAAACAGAGAAGTCTGTACCAGTCAGAAAGAACTCTTTCTCACTAGCTTTGGTCCATGTCTTGGAGATTAAGTGACCTGCAGAGTTTACATTATTCTTTGAGGAGAAATCCACTGTCTTTTAAAAAAAAAAAAATTTTTTTTTAAAAAAAAGTGACACAGCAGCTGCAGATGCCAGTGCCAGAAGCTTCTAGGAATGTCTACCAACCCCATCACTAGGGATTACACAACTATTTGCCAACAGGTACTTCAAAGTTAGTTTAGGTTCTGAATCAACACACTTAGTTCTCTTAAACCCCTTATTTTTTACAGTTATTATGCAGCTGAGAATGCTTTCAAGAGAATGCTTTTTCAAGAGCAGTTCTAGTAAGGTGATGGCTTCAGTGACTGGAAATTAGTTTCACTGGATAACGAGGAATCGCTTTCATATTTATTGCCCTTAGATTACATTACTAAAATTGTGATAAAAATTATATATGGGGATCTTAAATACTTTACTACAAAACATGTAACCACATCTAGTGCGTTTACAGCAGAATGTGAAAGAATGACAATCCTGCCTGATGGACAGAGTGAGAAGCTGAGATAGAACACTAGAAGCTGAAATAGGGCACTGAGACAGGACTAGGACTGAAGAAGGAGAGAGCAGAGTTGGCATAGCCTCAATGAGTTACAGAGGACAGCAAAGGCACAGCTGCAGCAAATGTGGCAGAGGCTGACAGTCATGTTATGGTAGTCAGAAGTAAGTCCATGTACAACTTGGAACATCTCACCTCTTGTATAGCCCTGCAGGCTTCTTTTGTCTGGAGCACAGTGAAAGCCTAAACCATCATTTGAGTGGGAATAGCACCAATGCTTCTACAAAGTGACAAAAAAAAAAAAAAATCTCAAAAGGCACAGCAGTGCAGATTTATAAAATAACATTTTAACATATCCAGAATTGTTCTCTGTCTCTATATTACAAACTCAGGAGCTCCTTTGCCTTTTGGCAAGCTGACTACTGATTTGGCACCTCACCTCATACAACCAAAAGAATTCAACAAAAGAAGGGAGAACTACTTTTGAGAAACATTTAAATAAGTCAGCACTGGTAGAGTGGGAATTAAAGAGGAAGAAGGTTTGCCAGTTAGAATAGTCTGAATCCTATAGATTGCAAGTATCAAAACAAAATTTTCAAACGAACCTCAGCAGCACTAAAATGGCTTAGATTTACCACAGAGCCATACAAAAACTGTAAGGACTGAGTTTCAGAGGCAGATGTTTGAACTGTAGCCAAGTGCAAGCCAGATAAGAGACCCATTTACAAAACATTTCCATCCTTGCTGAATTCTACAACTGATAGACCAGTACATTAACGGAACAAAACAGGAAGCTTTTCTTCAAACAGTCAGCCAGCGCTGAGCACCGGCTGACACCCATCAGATGACCCTCTATGAACTGCTTGCTCCGATGTAACAGATCAAGGAGCAAAAAGGGCATTTATAATACAAGATATACATCTCCATATATCACAACCTTAATATCCCTATTGTAATTATCTAATTAAATAAAAGTTAACAGCCTAAGTAATCCAGCATTGCCTCAAGAATCCCCTTCTTTCCATCTCCAGATTTGCACAACTTTTAACTCTTGATATTCTGGCCATTCGATACAAGCAGCCATGAAGATAAAGTAATTCAATAAAGGGTCTTAAGCCATCTTTCTGTCTCTTGTAAGAGAGTAACTGAAATACTGAAAAGACCAAATGGTTCATAACAGATTTGCAGACAAAATCTTACACCAGCTGTGGCCAGACAATTATGAAGTACTTTTGGATTGCTGTACAAAATAAAACAGAATTTCTAAAGGTATTAAACTATGCATACAATGCTAGATGAGGCACAGCCCTGGAAGACATTCAGAGTGGAGTTCTGGGCATTAAATGGTGGGTTGTCAGATCTACAGGTAACATAACGACTGAAACAGTTTCAGAGCAACGTGGCAATTAGAGTGACTTCTGCAGAGTTCTGCAACAGAAGACTCAGACCATCAGTAATCTTTTTCCAGCTACCTCTGTGAGTCCATGCAGAGGTGCAAGCAGAGTTGAGAAAGGAAGAGAAACTCTAGGAGAGCCTGCACTCTGCTGCTCTCTCAAGCTATGTAGGAGGGGAAGGCAGTTTACACCTGTTGGATAGGTTCTTTATTTGGATTAGGTAATAGCTCACCTGGCTGGGGTCCAAGAGCAGAATTACTACCATCTCTCAATAACTCTAAACCCCAGAGGCAAACATTGTGCTGGAACAGAAACAGGCCAGGAATTCATTTCTCACATTCCTCTTTTCTTTCTGAAAAGCAGTGACTGATGAAATAAGAACAATTTTACTTGAGCTTTCCAAATCCCATTCCAATCCTCCTATTGAAGGACCCATTTGGGAAAGTACAACCACTTCAGTCACATGCCTTCTGCACTGTGTCTTCCTTTCACCTCCCTCTGTTTTCCAGTAGCATTCACATACCAATGACAAGAATGAGTATTTTCATGTATACAGTGCTTTCCATTCCTAAACTTGGATTGGAGAAGTTCTGCCTCATTATTCTATTTTAAAAGACAAAAATGAAGGCTTAGGCAAATGAACAAATAGTATTTACTCAAGTGGGAAAGGAAGAAATCAAATCTCCAGCAGTTCTGGGACTGTATTCAGCCTAGTCTACTGCAGCAAGCTTGCCCTTGCTCCTAGCTTCCAAGACCAAAATTAATAAAAAGCATAAAGAAGCCACCTGAAAAAGAAACTTTTATAAACATTGCAAGATGCTGATCTGTCTTTGAATGATCTAAACTTGATATTCAAGGAAGAAGCATGAAGATGAGGCCTTAGTGGAAATTTCTGCAGTATCAGGTGTAAGTCTGCATTCTACATATATGTCAACACCAGCAAACCTAAACTTACAGATGCAGGGATGAGAAATGATCAAAGAGAAACAGGAATTTCCCTTTCATTCTACATGTTCATCCATGCCCTTATTTCACCATGGACCTGCCAGCTCTGGGAACATAGCTCTATTTTTCATAGGCCTAGTTTCTAGGATAGTCCTGAGACCTTAGATGTTACCTTCTGAGCAAGAAGCCAAATACAAATTACAAATGAGCTCCTGAGTGCATTGCATTCTTCTTCAAAAAGCTGGAGCAGCAACTTCAACTTACCTGACTGCTGAAGAGACATATCTTTTGTCAGCTATATGAGTGTCTGACTGAACAGCACACAATGACCCTCTTTTGTAGAGTGGTGACCGGTAGCTCTGCGGGGCACCTGCATTCTCCTTGCTTATAGCTCCACTTCCCAAGTTCAGATTTGTTAACTAAAAAGAAAAACAAAACAAAAAACAAAAGCTTCAGAAACAATTAAAAGTGAGGAGAAGAGCAAAAGGTATCACTAAATAAACTGGATATAGTATGTACTGAGAGAAGTAATACTGATGGAGAAGGGAAATCTTCAGATGCAGAACTGTGTTAGTTGCATAAAGCAGTGGGAGAGATGACACGAACAGCCACCATGCTTGAGATGAATTCAAGTACCAGCATTAAAACTACAACCCTTCCATTCACAGAAGAACAAAGGAGGAAAAAGACAAAGACAGGGCAAAAATCCCAAAGTAACAAAGCAACATCATGTTCCTGCCATGTGAAAAATTAACTCTGCATGCACTAACCAAAAGATAGAAGCTCATATTACACTGAGCGGAGACTAGGGCATCTGCCCAGTCAGCATGAGCTGTGTCACTAAGCCAGCCACATGCATCTTTTCTCTCTCTGTCCCCCTCTCAGTATACATACAAGCACAACCCAACAGCATATGTACCTTGGACACAGAATTCAAAACCAAACTCTAACACACATGAAAAACTTCTCACCCAACCACTTCCAAACTGTTCACACAAGTAAATACATTAGTTAATGATAACCTAAAATCATGTTAGGTGTACATTTGTTATATCAAGCTCTAAAGAAGTTATCTATGTGTTTTTAAGCATATAAAATATATTCCATTGTTTCTTTCTCTGAGCATTTTTCTTGTGTTGCTTATCTTCTTGAAAGATCAAACTCTGCAAGCAGACACTATCTGTTGGTTTATTTAAGAGAGCCTAAATACATACTGTAATGGTGCCTACTACAGCGGTGTAAGTATTCATTTACATTTGGAAAAAAAAAAAACAAAACAAACCCAAAACATTCCATGAGGTTACAGAACACTACAAAGGTTGCAAAGCTAAGATTCCCAGTCAGGCATTGCCAGAATTAAGTTTATGACTGCTTTTAATTATATGACCACATGCTGCTTTTTAGGACCACAGAACAGACCTGGCTCTGCACCAAGATTAAGGTCATATGACAAGCAAGATTTGTCTCTATTGCCCCTGCTCACTTCTATGGCAACTGGAAGGCATATAGCCAATGAGATGTATGACACAGACAGAAAGAAGAGTCTAAAAACTAGCTCTGCACCTTCCCAGCTTTGGGATCTTAACAATGCTCTTTTACCAGAACTGTGCACCGTTACTCAAACAAGTACATACCAGCTCCATTGCAATACACTACACTCATACCTCCTTGTGCAGGACTGCAGACTTCATATCCCCTGACTGAATGTTGGAACATGAACTAACATTGCAACTGGTAACAGTAGTTTGCCACTCCTTCTCCTTCTGTGGTTTAGTAGTACAAGGCATGTGATATTTCTGAGCTTAAAAAATACTTAAGTCCTACTTCAAGATCTGGACAGGATTATATTATAGTGGTTATGCACCAGGCCTCTGTCCGCTTCTCCAAAAGTGGCCACTTTTGCCTCATCCCTTCTCAGCTTTAGCCTTTCCCATTCTTGCTCCTTGTCTGTGTCATTATTCTCACCTAGTCAGTCCCAGGAAATGTTTCCTGTGTTATTCTCCTTATTCTGCTTAGTCCAGTTTCATTCTTACAGACTTCCAGCACTGGCCTCCCCACTACTTCTGGCCCCTGAGACACACCACCTCAGGCCTGGACCTTTCCATGGGAGCAGTTATCTGATCTGTCTTCCCACACTTTTTAGTTCTTCTTCCAGTTGCTCACATACCCTACATCCAAGTGGCTCATTTTATTCCCCTCCGCAGCCCACTCCTTTTCCCAACCTCTTTGTTCACCCAGTCCCAGAATGTGGGCTCCTGGGTGGATCACATTTACCACACTGCCATTCCTTCCATTTCTGCTCTTTCACCCAAATGGTTCTCAGTGTCCTCTCCCAAGTTATATCCAGGCTCAAATTTCACAACCTCCTTGTCCTAGGTGTTCACCACACCTTGGCAGAATTCCTGCTCATTCTACATTCAAGTCAGGCTCCCAACCCAACACATACCAGGTCACCGAGAACACAGGAGAATGGGGTCTCAAGCTTCAGTATTCCAGAGATGTAAATACAAACAAATTTACTTCAAATCCTCAGTGCGGAGTGAACCTCCATGAAGCTGAGCAGCTCTAGCAGGTGCTGCTGACTATATGTCACCTGAAGCTTTTTAGACAGTTACTTGGATTTTCAAGCTTGGACAAAATTTCAAATTCCAAATTGCTATTCCAAAGCACAGGAGAACAAGAGATTTAAAAGAAAAGTAGATATTTTAGTATCTACTGCACAGAATTTTTTTTTTTTTTAATCCAGCCTTAGTTTTGGCTAGAATGCTTCACCTTCCCTGAAGTGTTCTGAAAAATGAACATGAAGCACAGAAAATATGAGTCCAAATGAATAAAGTTTCAGAACATTACAAGCAATTTAAAGCAAGGTCTTACAGTGGGACGTATCAGGCAAGCTTAGTAACGAGTAGTGCTACCCATCTTATATGGAAAACAGCATTAGGTGTCATCTTCTCTCCCTGAAATGTTTTTGTCTTCTCTAAAATTTAATTAAAAATTTAAAGCATGTTCATTGCAATAACAGAAAACTTCAAATTGGGTTTAGTTCCGATTGTGCCAGGCACTATACAAATACCTAACAATGACAGTTTCTGTCAACAAAGACCTTATTGTCTGAAAAGAAGCAAGAATGGTAAATGAGGCAAACACAGAGGCCAACATGATAAATGTAATGGGATATGTACAATTCTTAGCTTGTCAGCAACAGTGATCACGACTTTGCTAACACATCCGATGTGTGAAATGAAGATGACTTTATCCAATTCTCTCTCATCGTCCTGATACCAAGAACCATTTAGTCTGATGAATTACCACCTCACCCCTGCTCTGTTAATGAGATATGCTTTCCTCTTTGATACTGCATCATTGCTTATTTGAAAGCTGTCTTTCTAAGCAAAGCAGGTGAGCAAATAGTATGGGTAGTAGGGACATTTCACACATTCCAGATAGACAGGTGTTTAAATAACAGCAGGATTAAATACAGGCAAGGGATTTGGGATGAGGGAGAGAATACCAGTATAAGTAGAAGGTTTAGCTGCAGCCAGCCCACCCAGATGGGTGTCACTGCTTTTTACTGTGCCATGCCCTGAGACATTTCAGCTGCTCTAATTAGCTTGCCAGGATGTTGCCTTGCTGGATTGCTGGGGCACCTCCAACACGTCTGTGCTCAGCAGAGAGGCTTCATTTTCTATTCACTAGTCTTCCTGTGCACCTGATGAAACTGAATTCTTCCCTTCATAGAGGCAAATAGTTAGCAGCAAATCAATTGTTACTTTGGCTTAAAAGATAACGTATGGCACATGGACCAAAGCAGATAACAAAATCTCCATAAAGAATAGCTTACAGCTTACAGAATTGTTGTAGTGGAAAACAAACCAGTCAAACCAAAACCAACAAAAGCAAAACAAAAAACAAAAACCCCACTAAAAAAAAAAAAATCAAGAAAGGCAGGCTAGTGGGGCTCAACATGGAAAGTGGTTATTGGTGTGGATCTACAAGAATAAAGTTAGTTTTCACAGTGAGTTGTATCAAGATGGGTTCAAACTCTCCTGCTTGGTAAGATTTCAATTTTTCACTAGCAGTGAAGGACTTCAGAATATTTTTTCTGACACTATGACAGGAAAACTGTGTGTGCTGCATCCCTATTTTCAAGTATCTCTCCTCACTTCAATATGTTGTCTGTGAAGTCTGTAAAAGGCCAGATAATACACAGCTAATAACTTTCATGACTGAATGAGTCAGAGTTTTGCCACAGTTTTTGAACTGTTGGGGACAGCGAAAAGGTCACATGCTGAGTGAAGAACACAATGGGATAATAAATCCCAAAAAGCTCTCAAGGAAGGAGGAGAGCCCACTTGGTGTACTTCTATTTATTATCAAATACCAAGAACTAATGCAGGGAAGAACATGTAGGTTGTCACAGCCGTATCAGTAAACAGACCTTTGTGTTAGAAACCTAATAGCACACATATGTACTGCTATACATGGTTCAATACAATGCTAACAAAGCCAAAAGACAAATTATTGCATAATGTCTTTTTTAAAATTTATTTTTTAACCATTACAAGGTAGGTTTATGACTGCAATACACTTGACAGCTGAGACACATAAGCTTAAAAGAATTGGTCTCTACGGTCTTGCTTTATTGAGAGAAATTAACTTCTAAATAACTTTAAAATTGAAAACAAGGCCACAGCACAGAATGATACTCGAAAGTGCTGGATATAAGAGTTGAGGAGTTTGTTTTTGTTAATCTGCTTTATAATTTAAATAGGAAATATAAAATCTCCAAATACAGATAGGAAAAAAGAAAATTCCAGGATATAATTTGTTTCTAAGGAACAGCATCCTACAGACAAAGACCCATTGTACAGTACCTTTTAGAAATCGCAAGGAAGAATCAGAAAAGGAGCTTAATATCTTTCACATTTCTGATCTACATTATACTATTCTTTTAATAGTTTCTCATTATCATATTCAAGAACCCTTTTTCTATAACAAAGTAAGTATTTTCATTTTGATCTTGTCTAATGTTTCAAACAAGCAAAAGCAGGAGATGTTAACAATGGCCAAATATTATAAAAAAAAAAAATATCTGTGCTGCAGATCAGCCTCCATGGATTCAGGAAAAGCCTCCTAAAAGCCTGAGTGTTTCTCTTGCTAGTTCACAGGAGCCAACCAGGGTGAACAGGGACATGTCATCACTAAGTTGTCACTCTGGCCCTCTTGGCAGAGAGTGGAAAAGTGACTTAAATTTGCATTACCAACATCCTGAACTGAGCAAGCGATGCACAACAACAAATGCCTGATTCACACTCCCCACTTGGCAGTTTTAGTATTTTTCTGCCAGAGGGAAGTCATATCCTGTTGCCTATAAAGTGCTGGGGAATGGACATCTACAAAGTCTAAAGACCCTTTCTCT